GCCACGCACGGGCCGGTGCCAGCAGCGCCCGGCAGTCCCGGCACCGCCCAGTCCGTACCCGGTGCGTGCGTACGACTGTGCCGATGGTCGAGTCAGTCGCCGACCGGCCGGTCCGAACAGACCGGCGGTCCGGCCAGATTAAGTTATAACAGTTCAAATCGGTTTCTTCATATTTTATTATATTAAGTCCCGGTTTATGATTTCTATCTCGTTTTCAGTTAAATTTTCAGTCCAGTCCAGTTCAGTAAATTCATGTCAGTTCAGTTCCGAGTTTATCCAGTTCTGGTTGTACCGGTTAAGCCCAAATATTATGTTTAAGTCCAGTAGAGCATCTTAACATATTAATCAGTTATTTTATCAGTCTGAGCATAGTATTTAGTAATTGTTTATAATATTTTTAGTTTGTTCAGGATACAGATGATCAGCACTTACATTTTCAGATCAGAAGTTCAGGTGGGGACTCAGACTGGGTATTACATTGGTTATAATTGCTCTATCATGTTTTAAGGTATGTATATGAGTTATTCCACTCTGGGTGGAGGCGCAGTAGCCTTAATAGGCCATCCCGAGTTTCGGTGGAGGCGCAGTAGCCTTAAGAGGCCATCGGAATGTGCACATGGACGGACATAGTGTCCGAGGAGGTTCAGTTCAGTTATAGACCTTGTGTCTGGAGATTACAGTTTACTTATATATACCTGCAGTCATGATATTGATATTATTATTGATGTTTACTTTAGTATGAGTTTCTGCGGAGTACAGTATTTTTAGTACTCACGCTCCCACTATTATCATGTTTTTCAGGTCATGAAGTCGGGACGGAGGAGTGAGATGACGGAGCTGTTTGGGACATGGCTAGTAGCCACTGTACATTATTGTACAGTTATGTTTTGCCACGCATAACTTCTGCTGTCACTTTACGATATTTCAACTAGCACGTCAGTTTTTATTTTTAAAATGATTTATCAGACAGATTTTATTTATAAAGTATTACATGCTAGTTGATGTAAAATAATCCGTTTATTCTTCAAAGTTAAATTTAAATAAAAGTAACGGATTTCCCAAGCAATGAATGGTTTTTAGTAGCACTCTGAATCAGTACTTCGCAATGTAAAATGTTTTATTTTTAATGTAATTGCGAAAAGCGTGCTCTGATATTTAAGGAAAAGCGGGGTGTTACAAAACTATTTGTTCAAAGTCTAGACAGGCAGTGAGACCCCTCTTGCAAAAAGACTGTGGTGTGTTCTTTATTCAGTTGGTCTTTGACTGGAGAATTACACTAGCACTGATCGTTGTTGTAATCAAGACCTTCAGTAATTGATGCGTACTCTTAAGCTGTAAGATAATATAAAATAGGCATATGTATTCATTACTTATTTATTTGATTTATCAAGGGTGATTCCTATTTTGCTAGGATGACATTACTCGGTATTTTGGTAAATAAGTGTGTTTATATGATGTGCCGTTATAAATTATTTACAGTCACTGTGTCCCAGTGCGCTAGGTTTGATGACGTCCCTGAAATGAGCTCAGGAATGAATATTATGTCAAGCCCTGCAGACGGATGTGTTATCCGCCATAATGATTAAGGATCTGAGTTGTACTAGTTTTGGAAATGAATAAGAAGTTGATTAATTATTTTGTCAGTAATTTAATTAATCAACGGACGTTATATCTTAAACATGGGGAGATAAACCGATCAATTGGATTAATATATTTTATCAGTGGAAATGAATTAATTATAATTCGGAGCTATATGGGGAGAGCAATAATATTACTCTAGTGGAATGTTTTATTATTTAATTCCAAGATTAGGAATTAGGAATTAATTATATTCCATAATTCCCTAAGGATGGGAACATTCCTTCTAGAATAGTACCTAGGGTTAGGAGACTATGGAGTCTTATAGAACGTAATTAAATATTAGAAATATTATTCTAGATGGAAAAAGGAGATGGAAGATAATAAGGATTCCTAAACCTTAAGGAATAAGCCCATATTTAGCACCTCCTTTAGGTCCCTATTGTAGTCTATAAATACACTAGGTCCCCTAACCTCTTGAATATTCTTTACATGTATTTTTCCCCGAAGGGCTGGAGAAATTCGGCCTCTTCAAGCGAGAAAGAAAGAGAGAGATTCTTCTTCGAAAGAAAATTCAGTTAGCACCGTAAGGTCTTAGAAGAAGATGATCAAGAGGTTTTTGTAAATCTAATAAATCGCTCCACCAAGATTATTAGAGATCATGTAAAGGTCATACAATATAAGATTCGAAGGTTGTTGATTCGTATCTCGTTGAATATATACACATGTTCATCTCGCAGGAAATATTCCCAGAGTTCTCCCAATTATCGCGCCCAGATCCCCTTCCCTTTTCTCGCGCGCGTCCAGGTCTCCAAGTCTGTCCGCGCCCAGGTGTCCAGCTCGCATTCAAATTCATTAGCGTCCGCGCGAGTCTAGGAATCAAAGAAAGCGTGTAGCGTAGTGGTCTTCCAGGCTGTATTCCGTGCGCGAGTTTGAAAGCCACCACCAACAGTTTTCTCTTTTTCGCCCAACAGTAAGGAGAAAAAGCACGCGGGCTGCGCAGCCC